CGCCTTAGGCAGGGAGGTGCAGGGAAGCCCTGCTGCTCGGGCAGCTGAGGTATGTTCGCTGCCACCACAAACATCCCCGGCAGCAGCTCAAACTTGGGTCCGCGCAGCCCAGGGCCCACACAGCTAAACGCTGCCGGCCCTCTCAGTGGCACATGCACAGTTGGCCAAAAGCATTACAGACAGACAGACGGACTAAGCCCTTTATACACAGAGAATTTCCAGTAGCCATTAGGAAGCAATGATTTAGTTATTACCAAGCCAGTAACTAAAATAATTTAATGCAAGGGTATTTATAATTAATTTCTGATCAACCAAAAATGATGTCCCATGTTCAACACTCAAAATGGCTCATTTTAGGGACTGGTTAACAAAAAATGCTGAACACCCACAACTACAGCTGAAGTCAGCTGGAACCAGGAGTGCTCAAAAGATCTAAACATTATCTACAATTTAAATGGGTATTTAAGATCTGAGACCTGGTAAGTCTCCAATCACTCTTGAAAGCTCAAGTCTAGCTGTCTGCTACTGCATTTGTCTTCTTTTTAATCCTATTTGCAGAAGTCAGTGCTTTGATAGTATTACCACTTTAATTAGTTCATTCTTTGAGAAGCATCAGACTAAAAATCAACTAAAAAATACACATATTCATCAAGGTACTCCATAATGCCTCATACAGAATAATATAAACATGTTCTTGTGAGAGGACCTTGTCTTAACTTGGGGGGGGGGAAGTTCATGCTAACACATGAAATCATGCATCAGGAATGAAATCATGCATACAGGTAAAAACACTATATTCAAAGATACTGTACCTAAGATGAGGCTTTGTGACTACGCCAATCATTTTTTTAACGGTCTGTGCCTCACACACCCACAGACTTAAATCAACAGCAACGGTTTTCCCCTTGAGACTGCTTAGGTTGATGGGCTGTTTCACTGGGTCAAGGATCTGCCACAGGTTAGTCACTCCCATGCCTTAATTCTTCGTTCCCAGTGTAAAGGTGTCAGCTGTAAAGATTGATCAAAGCAAAATGTTCACAGCTTGTGACATGAGAAGGGGTTATTTTTGGAAAGCAAAAATTCAATGATTTATTTCATTAAAATTTTATTTTTTATAAGCCAAGCACACAGACAATTAAGCCAACTCATATTTAGCAATTTCAGCTCATAAGTCCTCCATTTAATGGATGGGGTTCTTTGGAGGATGAACTTTTACTACAAACAGTCTATGGTACTTCCTGAAGAACTGTTTTCACTTTCATCTCTACGTACTTATACCAGGCTTTAACTGATTCTTTGTTGGTTTCTGTTTCTGCATACCAATGCCAATCTATTGCTTTTTCCATAAGAGGTGGCATACATCTTTTTGCTTACTTCTTTACAATTAAATGTAAAAATGATTTTTTCAAACAAATCCAAATATTTCATGATTTATGAATTTGAATTTATTTTAAGAGTTCAGGTGAAAGACATCTCTGTTCAGAGAATTAATACAATGACTAAACCAGGTGCTTTATCGCATTAAAAGAAAAGGTTGGCTGTGGCCACTGAATCTTGCACTAAATTTGAGAGAAAAAACAGGATCCATATATTATAATGTAAGAACAAAGGTGAAGAGGGGACTAGAAAGCAATCCATATGAGGAGAGACTGAAGAAGCTAGGTATGTTTAGTTTGGAGAAAAGGAGACTTAACACAGGGGGTGTCAAGTATAAGACCTTTAGGTTGGACCTGACTTTAGGAGGTGGGTCATCTGTCCACAGGGCTTCTCAAGGGCTGAACTTACCTCTGAAGGCCAGATTCAACCTATAGGACTCATCTTCATAGCTCCTGAAACCCCTGCAATGGCAATCCCAGCTATTTTACAGCAGCTTTGGAACTCAGAGAATTAAAGCCACTTGTCTCTTCTCCACTTTACTCACTAAATAAAATCAGAGATTTTACTCACCCCTTTGAAAAATTCAGGCAGATGGGAAGGCAGGGTGGAACCATATAGATCACCAATCAGTAGATCACAATCAACTGGTCAATCATGGTACCTCCGACAGTCGATCTCAGTCTCAGTCCATCATCTCATTTTTTTTCTAAGCTAGAGTTAGGCATAAATAAAGCTGTGTCTGTGATCGCATCCGACCAGACCTTTTCAAACCAATCACATTGCTAGCTAGTCATGAGTTGACACCCTCAAGGGACCAGGGGGAGGAACTGCACACACCCAGAGCCCAGCAGCAGCCTACTGCACACAGCCAGGAACACAGCACTGTGCGCAGAGCAGCACATAGCAGATAAGAGTGTTGGGGGGGAAAGAGTGGGGCAAGATCAAGGTCCTCATGGTGAGGGAGGCAGAGGCAGGGGTGAATGGGCCCCGGGGTGGGTGACAGGATGGTCAGAGCCCAGGTGGCTCATCCAGGGGCAAGGAGTGGGGCTTCCCACCATTGTGCACACCCCAGGGGAGGCATGTGGGGCACGTGTTTCCCAGATCTATGTGTGGGGTAGAGGCAGGCTGCACCATGCTGCTGCTGGCCCGGGAGCCTCGCGCAACTCCATGTGCCTGATGCATGCTGGCAGGAGGCACATGGCATCCTGTGTGGCTCTGGAGGGAGCTGTAGCACAGTACAGAATGCAGTAGCAGCCTGCTGCTCCCTGGGGGTTTTCTTCCCTCAGGCCAGCTCACCCCATCTCTGCAACAGGGCTGGCACATAGGCAGCCTGGGCCTTTCCAGGGATGTGGGGGCAGGGGGGGCTCCCCCTGCTAGGTGCACCCTGAGACAGGCATGGGAAACACGTGCCCCCAGATCTGCACGTAGGGCAGAGGCGGGCTGCACACTGGGCTGTGCACCATGTGGTGCTGCCTGTAGTCTCGCACAGAGACTCCATGTGCCTCCCGCCGCCAGGCAGGCAGAGGCACTCGGCCAGTGCACAGTAGGCACATTTTCTTTGAGGTAGGTCTTGGGTTGCATTTTAGTTCAAAAAGTGATCTTGAGCTTAAAAAGGTTGGAGACCACTGATATAGACTATTTTGTTTAGAGTTAAAAGGTGCCACCCTGCTTTGCCTTTTGCTCAGTTTCAATTAAGCACTGGGGCTATGCAAAGCTTCGGTATGGACAGAAGATGGAACTTTCAAGTCAAAAAGGAAAAATGTGATGAGGTTTAGAGGTTGCTGAGCAGGGTTTTTTCCATTTTAATCAAGAATTTTTTAAATCGATAAGCCGTTTATTTGATCTGCCCCCCTAATCTGCATTACAACATTCAAACAAGTTGCCCAGTCTTCAGAAGTGCAGAGTACACACCATTTCCTTAAAGTCAAGGCTTCTCATTTAACTGCAGCTGCAGTTCACAAGTACCTTTGAAAAAAATCAGCCAGAAGGCAAGGCTGGGTGGAACTTGTTTAGAGTTAAAAGGTGCCACCTTGCCTCTGCCTTCTGTTCAGTCTCACACTAACACAGTTAGCTACCCCTCTCTACTTTTGAAAAATCAGGTGATTTCATTTGGCTCCCATCTTTAAACACCTAAAATTGCAAGTTTTGTCCAGTCTGTCTGTTGAAAGATTTTTG